AAAAAAGTAAAAATCTCTTTCATGACAAGTTTGAACTGGTTAGAAAATTTATTGCTTCAAAATAAAAGTTCTTGATTTTCTCCCTGGAAGACTCCCTTTGACATCAAACTTTACCAAAAACGCAAAACCTGATTGAAAAAAATAAAGGTGTAAGAAGTCAACAATGAGACCAGCTCATCACTCCAGAGCGTTTGGAACTTCATTTTGTCTCTGCTTACTTGTTGCTCGCACTTAAATTCTCACTTAATTTTTTTCTTTAATATCTGATCTGTTCATTGGCTGCCAATTCAATACTACGATTATCACTTGGGTAAGGCGCGACGGAGCTTTGGTGACGAAGTTTTGGACTTAAAATTAGGGTGTTGCCACGGACCACGCTCCGCGTTTCCAATGGTAACAGTATCGTTACCTGCATTTCGCGCTTTGTTGCTAATGACGTCAAAGGCCGACAAGTTGCCACTGGAAACGGAGTCAGTTATCCGTGACAACCACACAAGTTGATCGTTAAAAACTGGTCACCATGGCCAAACTTTCGTCGCACCTTACTCAACTGAGAATCGTAGTAGTTCCATTGCCATTTAAAAATAATTGGTGTTAGCAATATTGTTGCTTCATTTTCTTCTTCAATATTTATAGTGCTCAGTTAATTTGCTTCAATGTGCAGCGCTTATGCATTTTCATCCAATGCAGTGCTCGTTATTGTTCATTCTTAGCATGTTGTTGTTTTCATTATCTCCGTTGGCACAACTTGGCTGTCCGAAAGATTTAAATTTTTCCAAAGAGCAAATGAAACAAAGAACATGACCTTCTGGTCAAAATCACCTGCCGTTTGCTCAGAAATATCACGTTCTGTGTTTGATTGTACCTTGAGTTGTTAACGTGAACAGTTCGTGGATCGCGGATGATCTGTTCAAGCGTGATACCAAGGACGAAACCGCAATGCTAAAAGGAGCGCGTGGGCTCACGTTTTTATCGACACTGAAGTTTCCCATTCGTTCAAGGGATGACGCCGATATCCCCTTACCGTCCACCCCTCAGTGAATGGTCGTCGTTTTCGCAGCAAGAGCACACTTACAACAGCGATTACTGACAGCGCAATAACAACAGAAGACACAACGATAGCGACTACTGGCAGGGAAATCTTGGCCCTCAGCGTGACAGGTCTGGGAACGAATGAACCAGCCGACGGTGTGGAAGACGTAGCGGCTGGTATTGATGAACTGCGGAGACTGGGCTTTACTGAAACAAAGAAACAAAAGTTAAAATTGTATGCACCTGCTGAACGTCAAAAATAAAGAAAACACAGCCATGACAGGTTAAATTCTGTTTTTTCAGAGGTTGTTGAAAGCGTCCGCCCGGCTTAGGCCAGCGTTGTGGTTTTTGCGCCCGGTATCTTGGGCTTCCAAACTCAACTCATTATAATGACTTCGTTAATTAGAGATTTTTAAAGTTTAAAACCAGCGAGGAGGGACTTTGTCGAAGGAGCGAAACTCTTTGCAGCGTGTACATATATACACAAATTTTTATTGAAGCTCCCTTTACAGGGCTTTTCAACCACAACAATCTACAGTAAAAATTAAAATGTTACATTAAAAATTTAAATAAAATCAATTTACACTGGGAGCAAGCTAGTTTCGGGGACAATGATGTTTTGTCGATCTGTGATCGTATTTTTTTTCACTACTATTTTTAAGATCACGTCACCATGACGAGGGGAACTTTGATGGTTCCAGCTTTAGTGACATATCACCGTAACTTACTTGTAGGATTTGGTCGTGAAGGCCATCGTACGGCAGTCGGCCATTTCGTCAGTTTGCAAAATCCATCCAAGTCGCTCTGTTCTGTTGCCATTTGCTCACAGTAACTGTATTCTCCAAAATGTTGCCGGTATAAATCCGGACACTCTGTCTGCACATTCTCGCAGTCTGACTTGCACACTGTTCTTAGAACAGTTTCTGTCTTGTCTTGTGGAAAACATGGTGGAGCAAACTCTGCGCAGAAAATTTTCTTGAGCATCGGTGAACACACGGAGTGATTTCCAAATTTGTGGAGTTTTCCCTTGAGCACATTATCGAGTATCAGTTGTAAGTGTTTAGTTTGCGTGGTATGCGAGTAGCCGAGATAGGAACAGGAAGACATTATAAGTTTGGTGCAGCTCTGAACGAGAGGGGCTGTAGGAAAAACAAAAAGTCAAGTATGGTCAAGAGAAGTTATGTTAATTCCTAGGATATGCGGTACTGTAAAACTTTAATTTCCCTCTGGACCTGTCGAGGCGTTGACACTCGCACGTGGGACTCGCGATATTCAGCATCTCTGTTCAATCCCCATTCTCGTCCCCATAGCCCTTTTCACTTCTCTTAACCGGCGTAGCCTTGGCACGAGAAACATTTCTCGTGCCAAGGCCCCGACGGCTATGGGAAGCGAAAGGGGCTATGGGGAAGAGAATGCTCAATCCCCCTTTCGTGATATTTTCACGCTCGCTCCAGATCCTTTTAGGTCAGCCTCATTTCAGTCGGCCTGTTTTGTAGTCTGTTCTCGAGACTAGTCGATATGGAATTTCCGGAGTTGTGAGCATTATTTGTCCCAAATGTCAGAACAATAAAATTAAAATGGCATTGAGTTTCAGAACTTAATCTTTTTGGTACGGTGGCCCACAACTGTCACGGCTAAACAAAAAGTCACGGCACTACAAACTTAACTCACGGCAAGATAATGTTATCTGACGTCAAAACAAAATTAACTCACGGCAGTACACCATTAATTCACGGCAAAACGAAAATAACTCACGACAGAACACCCCTAATTCAAGGCAAAACAAAGTTAATTCACAGCAAAACAAGCTATACCACTGTGTTATAAGGGCGTTAACACCGTACCTGTGCCAGACCTTTTTCAAATGGCTGAAAGTCAGGGTAGGTTTCTACAATGGATGGTTAGACAGAGTAAGCTAAGAACACTTGTGCGAGATCAGGGGACAAATGGCAAAAGGTAAAATTTGCGGTGGCAACTTTTTAATTGGCGTGTTCTCTGAGTAGAAGGGCGTAAACCATGTTGCTTTCAAAACAACAACAAAAACAAAAGCAATACCGAATTGGCTGCCAAAGAATACTGATGTTAAAAAGAACTTGTCGCTACCGGTGCGGGTGCATTGACAACCGTTTACATGCCACTTAAATCAATCCTCAACACCTGATCACTTTAGTTATAACCTTGAGCCCGAAAATAGTTCAAGGTTGAGTGTCATGCATATTACATGAAGCATCATTCTTACTTCTGTCCCCGCCCAATACCTATTATGTTTTTACTGGCATCGCCGGTCTCTCATTTCGTTGACAAATTCAGAATAGAAATACATGCGTAAGGGACTTTCAATCTTTGTTTCCTTCACCGTTGAATTTTTATCAAGAAGATTTCTTTTCAATTTTTCTTCGTGAACATCTCTTTTTTTATGAGAGCTATTGTTGACTTTTGCCACGGTGTTGTGTGCTGCATTTTTCACTTCATCCTTATTTTCCTAGTGATAACATTTCCACTCGTGTGATAAAGTCAGGCTCATTTATATTAATTAAGACCTCAATTTTTTTAAATGCTTGTTCGAGCGGTGATTTCAACTCAGTATTCGTCAGACAGGCTCCCCCAGAAATAGATGCCGAATGTCGCAGCAGATATTAAAGCAATTTTCCAGGTTGTCCCCTAATTGTTACTGCAAACAAAGATAACGAAGGGCAATTACTCGAATTTTTTAATACCATGCATGTTTTAACCTCATAAGTTCAATTAATTGCTTTGAGAGTTTTCAGAAATTTGTTAATCTGCTTTAATTTTGAAGGAAGCCAAGAGGTTCCCATGGAAAATACAGTTTCTAAGAAATTAATTTATGTTAATGAGTGTCTGCCCAAACGAGTGCATGAACTCGTGATGACCTCCGGTAGTTGTACATTTTCTCTGCAAAAGCAGGTTAAAGTCGTGATTAACCCACGCATGCTGTTAAAAAAAAATCGGTACCCATCTGCAGAAACTCAGTAAATAAAAACCACTCCCGAGCGATTGCTTTGCTTCAAACGACTTATGTCCAAATATGCTTGAGACAAAAGCTTTATTGTTCCCTAATTGCATAACAAAAACGGCGTTTGTGCGTAAAAATAACCTGTTGTCAAGAGTGCCAATTTTTCATTTGCATGTCGCCACCGGTAAAAAACCTGAAGAAGGCGGTAAAAATTTCTTGATGAAAAACAAAAGTTTTAGACTGAAAACTAGTCGCTAAAACCTGCGACACTTAGCTTGTACAAAAAATCATCAGCCGATGTCAAATCGAATACAATACCAATAGTTTAATTAATACAGAATATTGTTTCAAACGCACGTGTCCGAAATATTTAAATTCAGGTTAAGAGTAATATAAAGTGTCAGTAGCAATTTTCACTTTCCTTCCCAAAATAAGAGTCAGTAATAAACCCGTTGTTAAACTCAACATTGACATAAATGTTTAAAAAGTATAGATGATTTTTTATACTTACTTGTAGCGTTGACTCGCGGCTTATAATTTGCCGGTTGAAAGCATTCGTCTCGGTCGCTCTTGTTCGCTATGGAATAAGGCAACAAATGACAAAGCCCTTTTATCCACTCAATTCTCTCGGAGTCTACCTTTAACTCGCAGTCCCTGACAAAGTCTTCACAGACCCTTCTACATGGCAAAACTGGACTGTAGAGATCTTCGACGCATTTAGGAACGAAAATAGAGCACAATATTGTATCGAGATATTTTGAACATTGTCCAAACTGTCGCGCTTCTCGCTCTATGTGATATGCTATGATATTTTCATGAAGTGTCGTATTACTCGGGAAATATGCTGTGTAATTGTGCCCTGCTTTGATACATCTTTGAAATAAAGACGGGTTTAACCGCTGGCAAATTTCGCTAAAAACGCCGGGCGGACACACAACAACGAGAAAAAATATCGCT